TTATCTGGGCTCATACCTCAATTTGATTGGTTGAAGCTCACGAGAAAGATCAGACGAAAACCATTTCACTGCTACGTTAACATTTAACGAGTCAGTCAACTCCAGAATCCACGCTATAAAGATATTTAACAAAATTATTGCAATTCCTTTCTAGAATATAATAAATGTTTCTAATTTTCAATGGAATTTGTTCAATTTTCTTGCAGGCTGTCAGGCTGCCCTAGAGCGGTCAAGCTTGTGCCACATGCCAAGAATCCGACACGAAACGAAATAGGTAATCATTCTTCTAGCCTGGAGAACTCCTCCAGGCATAGATTAGATTAGATTGATGATTGATAACCACTTATTAAAACTGGACTATCTTCGACAGTGTTTTCTACTTTACTTTCTATTTTTGGAAAGCATTTGTATGACTTTCCTCCATTAACCTCTTCTCATGGTGTGACTTTTTCATTTGTTTTTAGGAGCAGATGGCAAAGTCAAAGAGTTGTTGACGTGAGTATTCTTAAGTGATGTCCATACTATTCATACCGCTCTTGTTCATGATTTGTGTTTTCAATGTTAGGTTTGAAGGAAACAGAACGCCTCCAACAATGTAAGATAAAATGCCGTCATACTCTAAAACTATCAATCGCTTACACAAACTTGTCTTTATTACTTATGTATGAAGTGTACGACTTTGATACACAAATAGCCAATCACGAAGTGACTAGTGCATTCCTYTTTCCATATAAGGACAAACGAAAGAAACACTGATTGACAGCCTATAAATAGCCAATCCTAAATTCAGGGGGGAATCGCTAATACGATCTTTAAGGTACTTTTTTCTTCCACTGAGATAGCAGGAAAAGTTTGGGTTTGCACCTGTCAATGATAAGACTCGGGGGGTGGGGTTATGGGATACCTTGGGAAAGTTGAAATTGAGTACCTCTGATAGGGTAAAGACTCATTGACATTATTTAGTATCCACTTAGGGTCGGAAATAAAACATGGTCACCGTCTGAACTCTAAAAAATACTTTGAGAACCTAGAAATTAGTCACTGCTAGGGCTGGAAGTTCATTAAACCTCGAARTGTTGACAATTCCGCGGTTTTCAGCTTGGTATCGGCCTGAATTTGTTTTGCGCTGCCACCAATTATAAGTATAAAAGCTACCGACTTATTGTACTTTTAATTGGTAATGGCCAAGCTAAATTSCATTGGTTGAATCGATATACGATGTAGTCTACATACTAATATTATTTTGAAAAAGTAATACGCGAGTGTTACAATATGAGAAAAATATTGGAAACAACAAATTCCTAATATTAAAATCGGRATATAATTATTGCGGAACAAGCTCCTTAATTAACAATTATTCGCCGAAGGCGAAGTGAATATCGGGGAATATTTACCGAGACGCGAGTCTTCGAGCGGCGAGGTAAATATTCTCCGATATTCACTGAGGCTGAGGCAAATAATTAGTATAAATACACAGGTGATTATTTAAAAAAAAAGGAAAAAAAGAAGATAAAAGACATTTTTTTCCCGGTAACAGCAACAACGCGGCTGGCCGCCATTTTGGATTATCGCTGGAGGTGATTATCGTGTGATAGTGTGAATTTCTCGACCAATCARCGCGCGAGATTTTCAATAATCACCTGTGTATTTTTACTAAAGCAAATTAGTATATTGTTTTCATAAACACAATTTTGATTTCTCGCTTTCTAATTGCCGGGCGAGAAAAWTTTGGTCTCTGTAATATTTGGTGATCAATGTTTTGCCTTTAGGCCGGCGCACGTTCTCTTTTAGTTATCATGGAGGATTGTTTTTTCCTGTTATTCATCGCCTAATTACCTGTTCCGATTGAACATTAATTTAAGTCCTGCAGAACTTACTAATGAAGTTATTTATCATAAGCACAGACTTTGTGACTCTGTTTTTTGATTTTATAGTATTGTTATGTTTCATAATGTTCTAACACTCAACCGAAACGCATGAGGTCAAACACTTCATTAGTTTCTACAAATAGTCCATTTTTGCCACTCGGGAAGAAACACTACCAATTAAAATTCTTTGAGTAAGATATACTTAAATAGAATTTACACKGAAAGAAATGTCTTGTGGGAAAGAATTGGCATTTAATCGAATAAAAAGCCTATTGCTTTTGAAGCGTCTTTTTTCTCAAAACCACCTTATATAGTATTATGAAGTAAAAAGGGTTTTTCATGAACTGCACATTCACTAATGGCCGCCAAACACGGTTGGGACTAAGGACGAGTACATGGAAGCGAGGTCATAAAGGCCTCATTTCTCTACACGATGCATCATGGCGTCCATGTATTTCTTGAAGCAAAAGCGAAAGATCTTGACGGATAATGTTTGTTTACTAATGAGGCCTTTCCGACCCCAGTCGCTTGCCTGTGCTTGTCCTCAGTTAGCCTGCGTAGCGGCCCAAATTGAGGAATTGGGGGGAGGRTGGGGGCCTGTGGAGGAGGGAACGAGGGGGAATGGGGAGAGCACCCCTCCCCATTCCCCCTCGTCCCCTCCTCCACAGTCCCCCCCCTTGGGCCGCTAGTCCTCAGTCCCAACCATTATGAACCATTATGAGAAAGTTCGTTACTAGTTCGTTCTTCGAACTTCGGAACGCCTTGTTAGAGCCATATTCCTTGTATCTGGTATCATCTTAACTAATCAAGGAAAAGACTTCGTGGATGGAAAAGTCCTCATAGGTGCGTTAATACGTTCAAAAAAATCGTGCAACGTCTCGTGGTTTTTACTTTTTGCAAAAAAAAATGTTACGTGAAAAGTTCTCAAAGTCTACGTAGTCTAAGCGAGTTCTTATCTTGACGATCCTCATGCACGATGTCATGGAGACCAGTTGCGCACGAGAAGACACATGAATGTAAATGCAACTCAAATAAAGAATCTTATTCTCAAGAAACACGTGATCTAAAATGGGAAAACGTTACGCCCAAGGTCAAGGGGTCTATCCCTCTTATTCTCTCGGTTTCAAAGTCGTACACTTTATTTCTCATACATTAACTATACATCCATTACGTTGTGCATATTGTATTATGTCGATATTGTTTGATTGTGTTATTGCTCGCTTAACCGGTGATGTTTCATGGTGGTATCTTAGGTGTCCTACCCCAGGATGTGATGGCACGGGTCATGTATCAGGCCAGTACGCCTCTCACAGGAGGTCAGTCTTGCAATAATTCCTATGCAAATGTATTTGGTTTTTAACATTTTCGACCTGATTAAGTCGCAGCCATGCCAGAGGCAGTTTTAAGGGGAGGGACTAAGCCCTATTAAAATGGGCATAAAAAATTAATGATTTATTCTAGATCCAACTTTAAATATTTCATTTACTATAGCTTAAAAAACGGCGCTGCATACTGAGATCTTTTCTGTGCTGGCTTGTGCGTGGGAGGGAAGTTAAAACTGTTGCACTGAATAATGCTTCGCTAAGAAATRATATTGAATTGATATGAAAACACGGTGGAGCCTCCGATACATTGTTTCAATTTTACAATTGTTTCTCGCGCTGGAAAATTAATTTCAGATTTTTGTTGCAGCGAAAAGTTGCATCGTCTATCATATTCTGCGGGAAAACGTCATCAGTATAAAATCCTGATTGGCTAGTCTCGATTGGATTATTGCATTGCGAGTGAGCATTGGTGATAGACGCTGCAATCTTCAGTTTTAATTATTTTTAGGCGTGCAATTTTCAAAAAGTTGCAGAAAAAAGCTCAAAATTTTGAACTTTGTTTCTGCAATATTTTTTCGTTGCGAAAATCTTTGCCGTCAACGTTGCGTCTCATTGTAGATGATGAAATTGTGTCTTACGATAGCGACAAATTGCAGCGTGTATCGGTGGCTTTAACTTTGCTTTTTGTTTTGTATACAGCTTGTCTGGTTGCCCTTTGGCTGCAAAGCTTTCTCAACAAGAAAGTCAAGAAGTGAAGTAAGCAACTCTAATATGTAGCAACCTTATAATACCATCACTACATAATATTTTAAACCACCCCTATAGCATTCCCAAGATTTTAGGGGAATTGAGGGAAAGTGATATCAGAGTAATTAAGAAAAGAAACTCGCAAAGTTCATAAAAAAGTGACTTGCAAAGAGAAATGATCAATGATCAGTAATATGCCCTGGATCATGTGATGCCGTAGTCTTGTTCTCTAATCTAATTGAATGATTGTCAGGTGTCCAACAATTGGATGTGATGGATCAGGTCATATAACTGGAAAGTACACCTCACACAGAAGGTAAAGACATGCAAAATGTTAATATGARAATGTGGATGATAATGATGATGATTACGAAGATTTTGGTTAATTGCATTAGATTAGCTGATCATGGTTATCATATTGTTGGTGATGATTTATTTTCTTTTTTGTTTAGTTTGTCTGGGTGTCCTCTTGCACCRAAGCTTGCTGCTAGTGGGACCGATCCAAGTAAGTATGGATTGAAACTCTTGCCACTTAGACCATCGTTTGTATGGCTGACACWAGTCTTCCCTACTTTATAGTTGAGTTTTAAAAAACACTTGTTAATCTAGGTCGACCGACTTTGCTCTAYTGTGCATTTTTACATGTCTATATGCAAATATAATACACATTTCGGAGTACCCAAAATCCTTTTCGGTCTTAGCTTCGATCACATGACCTTCTCGAACCCTACTACGTTTTTTCAATTAGGTGTATGAGTTCTCTCCCTTTTAGGCCTTTCCGTATCAAAAATAAATAAAATATAAACATGGATTTTAGGAGAGGGGCCGCACCCCTTGCCACTCCCTGCCCCCCCCCCCCTTAAGCCGTACCCCTTGCCACTCCCTGACCCCCTAAGGTGAAGTGCAGAAGTAAACCATGATGTGGTATTTGAAGAAATCAAGAAAGATTCACTCTCAGACTAATGATTGTCATACCTCTTTTTTCAGCTGGCAAAGGTAGCCTTGGTGGAGCTGATAAGATTGGACCAACGTAAGTATTTCACTTCATTTTTCCAGACACATTTCCTTACAAGTGAAATAGGTTTCTTTTCCCTTTCCGTCTCATTCAATTTTTGCCAACTCATTATCAAGTTTTCAATTCTGGGAATTGTAATTTAGCTTGTTTAGTTTTGTTGAGAGGGAAAAACGGAGAAAACCCCTCGAATTAAAGATGAGACCTAACAAACTCTACTCTTGTGATACTGAGTCCAGGAATCKAACCTGAGACCCCAGAGGTGARAGTCAAGTGCAATACAGCTACACCACTTTTRAATTGATTCAGTCATTCGATTGATGTCAAATATATATACCATTATTTACAAACCCACAGGTGTCCCACACCAGGATGTGATGGTTCAGGACACTCCAGTGGTCAGTTCAGTTCACATAGAAGGTACAAAATACCCATGATCCTCTGCTCTTAACCCACATCACGTGATAACCAAGGGACTTAACTAATCATGATCATCCTCTACGTCCATCTAACCATGACAAGCAAACATTGTTAGTACATATTGATATCTTTACTCAGGCTAACCTTTCTTTCCTTCTAATCCATGTATTGGTAATCACTTCATTCAGCTTTCTATGTGTTCGTATCTTTTTGTCATTAGGGACCGTTGATGTTTTATCGCGTGGGGGGGAGGCCACCGGTACTTAAAAGAGTTGATGCAAAAGATTAACGTTTCGAAGGGAAAGTCATATTTTCGTAAACGACTAGATATATAGAATCRAGATAGATAAATATTTCCTCGCAAACCTACAGGCCCTCCCTCATCGATTAAAAACTCCAACAGGAGAATGTAATGTCATTGTTACTCCGCGTCGAATATTACAGAGATATATAACTAATCCCTCGCAAACCTACAGGCCCTCCCTCATCGATTTAAAACTCCAACAGGAGAATGTAATGTCATTGTTACTCCGCGTCGAATATTACAGAGATATATAAATATTTCCTGACAAACCTACAGGGCCTCYCTCCTCGATTAAATATGAACACTCCAACAGGAGAATGAAACATCAATGTTCCTCTAATATTACAGACTGATGTGTCTATTCATAAAACATTRCCTTTATTTTTATTACTGAACCATATTTGTCATTTATAATCCATTGGTTGCAATATTTGTAACTGATGTCAAGATCACCCATTCACTGCGTAGCACTGCCAAGTTTCATATCGAGTGGGAGGACTGGGAATACTGGACAACTGCTGACCAGCAAGATAGAGTAAACATTCTTAATATGTGTAGTAGTATGATACCATGAGCTCGACAAATGCAGCCCGATTTTGTCCGAATGAACAAAAATCACTGGGAAATGGAGGAGTTTATGGCATCGTTATCATGATTGTCCAGTTTCTAACCGGTCCTCGCACGATATGAAAACTTGTCAATGCTTTATGAATCAGTTAAAATGAACTTAACTCAATAGCAATATTTTCGTTGCAAATCTTGACATTTCATCGGTGTTGTAATATCTGTCATGTTGTAATAGTGTATAACACATAGTGTTTGTTCCCTCGCAGTTTATCAGGGTGTCCCATGGTTTCACCAGCAGAGAAAAAGGTCTTAATGCGACAAGAAGCTGAGTCAAAGCTCTTCGCTCAGGCCCAGGCGCATGCGCGAAAGATCGAGGAGAAAAATAACATTGTCAAACTCAGATCAGGAAGAGGTAATGAAATAAATTAAGCCTACCATCGTCACTTGATGCACATTTTATCGACAGCTAGGGTGTATTATCCACTTTTCCTAGTTGGTTGTGCAAGGTGGTTTTTGGTCTTGCTTGTCTTTCTGTCCTACCTTGTACAAGATTTTCAAGCAAGGTCCATTCACGTTTAACCTGCTTTTAGTGCTAAAGTCTTCTTCAATAGTATTCTTCATATAAAGAATACTAAAGAGCTGATAAAGTTCTATCCAAGTTTAGACTTAGATCCTCATCAAGGTCAGTCTCACGTATGATCACCGACGACCACAAAATTTCGTCAACTAGACTTCTGTCTTGAGTTTGGCATACTATCTTCAACTTGTGGCATACTGTCCGTTCAACTGGGTTGCACCCAAACCATACAATGATATTTGATGCTAAGCTCAGTACACACTGACTAATCGAGTTTGTTTTATTCACCGGTTAGGACAAAAAGAATACGATGAAATTCGTCAGCTTGATAAAGAAATCGACGTGCTTCGATCTTCCATTGAAGACTCGGAGAGAGTGAATGAAGAAATAGAAAAGGAAGTATTGAGAATGGAAAAGAAACTAAACGCTACCAAAAACGACACCTCTCAAGACAGGCACAGCAATGGGGTCCTAGCGACGAAACTTGCGGTACTCCAGTCTAGATTCATTGCCAGTCTTTCTAATATTGAGATCCCTGACATGGATRTCAAGTTAAACTTTGACTCTGTGGATCGATACATTGAAGTCCTACAAGAACGGATCCTTAAAAACCCTGTCGATAATACCTCACTCATCAAGGACGTCAAGGCATCATTAGCAGATTTTAAGGTTTGAGTCTGCCTGACTACAYTTATGTTGGTGTCAATCGATTCTTATTTATTTCGTTATCGCTCCGAAATACCGTTTTTACAGTGGGGACACTGGAACAATCAACACTTCGAGTTTTTTGTCACTTTTTTAAATGTGTAATGTAAATCACCCCTTGAGCTAATCGACTGGAAATAAGATTTTTTGATCACTCGGTGTATTTGAACTCAGTGCTTCATTTTGAGAGGGTTTGAAACATTAAAAAGTTCAGGAAAAAATAACTTAAAAAAACCCGAAGTGTTGACAGTGTCCTCAGTGTAATATCTTTTTTCCGATTCATAAAATGTTTCGTGTTTTAATTTACAATTCTGTTCGAGCAAAAACTACTCTTTCATTAATTATATATTCTAGTTGTTCGAAGAGCTGTATTTATAAATCAAATTATATTTTAATAAGTAATCGGGCCCGACTTCCTTAGAAAGCCTAGTAACATTCAGGTTTTTTTTTAACATTTACGAAATCATTTGTATCAACAAAAACACTTTGATTTCGTTTTAGTTGTGGTCAACCAAATATTTTACAAATTTCTATGATTATTATTGAAATTGTTATTATCATAATATAAATATATATACTATTATAAATACGTCAGTCGTTTATTTTATTGCAGAAGAGTATTCAGAATTATTTTACATATTTTACATAATAGATGAATGAATGTCGTAGTATGTAGGAACCAAAGTAGGAAAAAATGTTAAATGTGCTATTAAATATATAAAATATTATCCATGAATTTAACAAGAATGTGGTATGTTAAGGGAGTATTATTTTTAAGATTGAACTAAATATTAAATTATCGTTAGTCAGTTTATGGCGGGAAAATAAGTTCTTATAATTTGTGTACATAAGACTATTATAGCCTTTTCTCTATTTTCCTTGAAATAATTGATAAGAATATACTTGTAGTCATCAAAATTAGCTATTTTTTATTTCACACACCCTAATTATTTTATTTATGAATTTTCCCGCCAAATGAATACGGCGCGCGTTTCTCCGAGAACGCCTGCCCATTTGGCGCGCTTTTTCTCGATTTGTCTTTTCCTTTTCTAAAGTAAATCTTCTTTGAGAAATTTATTGGTAACAGGAAATTTTTGGTTTTACAACAAGGTACGTTAACATAAATAATAAGCTTCTGTTAAAATCTGGTCCGTTATTTCATCATTTCCAAAAAAGTTTCCKGGTCTGTCAATTCATTTATTTATCAAAATATAAATTTATTTAAAATAATTCAATTTTCCGCCATTTGGGTTTACTAGGTACGTTGTATGACTCTACTAAAAATTACTGTTCTCTATTYTATTGTGCTGCAAATCGCTCGCTACTAGTCTTACATCATGGACGTATCCTGAGAGGATTCACACTTCCGACTCCCCTTAGTTACCGTTATTTCCCACAAGCTTAACGAATAATCTAGAATATCTCAAAATTTAAAACTCGGATAACTGATTGTAGATTATTTCAATAGTTTACTGTCCTGCGAAAAGAATAGAAAATTTTCTCGTAATCCTTGTAGTACTCATTAAACCAGATACTGTGTAGTTGTTTGTGGGACAAGATTTCAATTCCACTGGAAAAACTATTGGTTCGCTATTGTCTGAGTCGGAACTATAAATCCTCTAAACCACGATCAAATCGTCTAAATGACAACTATAAACCTTCTAATTAAATTATCTTGGTTTTATTGAACCAACGCCCTAAAGGACGAGTTTGAACCCCTAACTAGAAAACAGGGGGGAAAATTCGTTCTTTGGTTCGCCAAACGACAGTTATTTTTTCGGTTCGGTTCGCCATTTCGAATCACCCCACATGAAAATCTTGGATCCGCCCAACATGATAAGATGTTGTAGATGCTTTGAATGGAACAATGTAAACTCTTCTTTGGTTATATTTAACTTTTGTTTATGTGATTTAATCACCTTGACAACATTGCTGTTATTGGCAGAACTTAGGTCACGTGATCATTTTCCACCAACGACTAGCAAAAAAAAAACAGTTAAATTTCAAGCAAAGCTATAGGGAATTGGATAAGCTAAAATGCATGATAGATTGCATACCATATATCCTTGAAAAAGTTARCTAACAAAATTATACTAATTAGTGCAAAGTTTYGTAGGTCTACKGTCTACTGAGGTCTACTGAACTTACTAATTTGTGSAATTTCTTACGAGGTTTTTCACGAATATATGGTATACAATCTAAACAAGATTATCCCGTTTGGCATTTACTTCCTGCGATTTACGGTATCAATAGAAATACCAGCTAATTCATTACGTAAAGCATCCTGATCAGGTGGGAAATGTAATTTGGTGAACCCGATATACGATAGATAATGATAATTATGACAATAATATCAAAATTAATATGTTAGAATTAAAATTAAAGTTAAATCAATCAATTTATTGTTGCATATCTATTGAACAGATATAAAAGATATAATAATTATTGCGATATGTATTATCTTGTTCATATCTTATCTGTATATGAAATAATGATATTAAAAGATAGATATGAATCAACGATCTGTTTGTGTTTTTGTCTTCTTGCTACCCTGTTTTCAGTGAAACTACGGTTTTTAAAATACCTTTTGCTTAGTTGTCATGTTTTTGAGAGGGGTATTGATGGGTTGCAAGCATTCCCAAGAGAGTTAAAAGACAAAAACATGGCGGCCATTGTGGTACCGTTAACAATGGGTGCTAATGAGAAATCTTTTGTTAAATGGCACCAACATGGCCGCGATGACGTAACGTGCAAACGAAGAATACATTCACTGGTTCAGACACTTCAGACGTCGCCGTTTCAGTATGACGTCCAACATAAACCCTGTTTCTCTAGATAACAATAAGCAAGAAGCTAACAAGTTTTCAAGTTCGCCTTTGCTCAGTCTTAGCCTTGATTGGTCCATTGTACATAGTAAGGAATGTACGTACTACGGAACAGTACGAGTTGATTAAAATGCCACGGTTTTAGTTGAATAGCTTAATCTTATAACGCACAAACGAGATTAAAGGTGGTGTTACACGGGCCAACTTGCAACACCGATTTTTCGTGCAACGCTATTGCGCCATTTGTGTGTCGATTTTTTGCAACATGTTACAGTTGAACAACTTTTCGCGCAACATTGACTTTAGTATTCAGTCCACACGCTGCCAACATGTAAACAAACAAGATAGCGTTTGACTCTTGTTATCGACGACGCGCAAATTTGATATTTTTATCAACTGCAGAAGCTTAATTTTCTCTGTTTCGTTCAGTTTGGTCACTTCTTGAATTTGCTGCACTCCTACAAGACCCAATTGCTCCACTACGTCTTGTTGAACGGCAGCCGCTATTTTGTTTGTTTGTTTGTTTGTTTGTTTGTTTGTTTACAAAAAGCCCTCGCATTCATGAGTAAAGTTGCGCGTCAAATCGGCTATATACATGTTACGCACATCGATTTGCTGCAAATTCGCCATCTTGCGTTGCAAGTTTTTGAAGCCAGATCAAAAACTTGCAACGTGTTGCAGAGTGAAATATTGCGCGAAAAATCGTCCTCGGCGCTATGCTACACGGCAACGATTTAACACCACCTTAGGACTCGAAACTGGAGTATTCACTTATAACGCGGGCTTCCTGTGGTCTGCCCGTTGTATTAAAATGATAAGAATGAGTGGACAAATTGATTTTGGCATCTCATTAAGGTCTAAGAATGCGGTTAACCATTGCGAAGTTAATGAGTAGCGGGAGATTCAAATGCAGGGAAAATGGCTGAAGCGACGTTACTAGTCCGATTAAAAATTGATTTTCAGCTTTCATTTCAAAATAAAACCTACATATCTATTACGAACCGCGAAGTAACAGGGTACAATGCGTAACTAAGTTTTCTTGTTCGCGCGCGTCGCTTTAAATTAACAATAGGTCTAAAAAAAACACTGTAAATCACTCCGTGATGTCGGTAGCCTCAATAAAGATTTTTTTTGAAAATGGAATTATGTGAAAACTTCGAGAAGACTCGTAAAAATAATTAATTCATTGTTAACTATTCGGCCCGGCTCCATGCGATGTTATATTGAGGAAGGTTTAAGTGGTTTTCRTAAACCCGTGAAATACGCCTTAGCTTGTTTAGAGCCAAAAAAACAAGCCCGAGTTTACGCTTTGAGAGTGCCAACCGTTGAACTCTATTTCTTGCGTTAGACAAATGAGGAGCTTTTCGATGCCGTCCCAAATTTAGTCCCTCAATAATATGAACGTACCACGAAGGCCCTCACCAGTCTCCCTTCGAGCTTCTAAAAAGCGCGACCTATCTGACATGACAAAATGAGCATGTATGATAAAAAGAATTTTGATTTTTTTTTTTCTTTTCAATACCTTTTTTCTAAAAAAGATTAACGTTTATCGGTTGCATGCAAAATCAAAAGACACTTCAAAACTCGATTCGAGGGTACTTTACAAGTAAATTCTTAACCATTAATTATTATGGACAAAATCGCAAAAAAATTGCAGCAAAAATCGCCGCTAAAATCGCTAGTGTAAACGGGGCTTAAGAGAACGTAAGAATATTTGATTTATTGATATTTTTCTGGAAGATAAAAAGCCATCATCCCACCTTTTCAGCCCGTTCAGACCACATTCATTTGAGAAAATGGATCAGGCAAAGCCGCTCTAACCACCATGCGGGTGGAAGTAATGAGAAAACGTTAAACAATTCTGTGGTCTACTACGTCCTTGCGTAATAGCAACTTTGGGCGTTTTTCAGTGTTAAACTGATCTTCAATACTATTTTTTATTATCTTAAAGGTACAAAGGAATTTACCTAACCAAAGCGCAGTCTCATTATGACGTCATTGGCACATTCGCGCCAGTTTTTGTGTTAAAAACAAAACGCACGCCAAGCTGCCCTTAGGGTTCTTTACAGTAACATGTTCTTTAAAATCCTTCTGTTACGAACTTATTATTCTCACGAAAAAGCTAAATGGACGCCCTCTGACTTTAAAGGTTGTTATTTAAGACTAAAGCTATGAAATCAACGAGATCTGCAATATTGTTTAAAASGCTGTAGATRTATKTCAATTATTWATGGTTGCTATTGCGAAGTAACAAAAGAAACTTAGTTCCTAAAGATAAAACAGATGTTAGCTACACTGTCAAAAATTAGAATGATAATAATATAAATGAAAAATGTTCTAAATCGGCTAGAACCAATTATGTTTGCTCAATAACAAAACACTTTCGCTGCATATGATTAAACTGACTTGCGCTCTGCCCCCGCTTTTTYTCTCTCGATATTTAAGTTGATATGCAAATTGGAGATCGATCTGTCAGGAAGCGGCAAAATTAGGCATCATAAGCATGTACATGGTTCGATAACTTTGCTGCGGTGAAAAAATCAAGCTCTTGAGCCAAATGTCTTCGTCRATGCCCTTGTACTACGGTAAGACTAAACTTTATTTCAGTCTAAAAAATCGATTCAGGCCAGAACAGAAATCTAATATCTTTTAATGACGACGAGGTTTTTTGACCATTGACAGTTCTAAGATTCCAAAATGTTAACATTTTCCTTAGATGTAAAATAATAATAAGAATGAAAACAACACATGTTTGGATATAAATTAAATTTTTCTTGGATGTATGCTTTAGTGTACTGGTTAGAATAATGTAAGGGCTGTAAGATTTGTTTGCGTATGTTTTAAAATAACATTTATTTTTCAATCTTATAACATTCAATGCATGCCTTAGGATTTACCTTAAATTTTTTTGATACTACAAAAAATGGCTTAGAAATTTAAATGCAAAATTATTCAAAAATAGTGTCGCTAGATTTGACAGTTTCAAAATATATTTTAAAATCAACCGCATTTTGCTAAGTCTAGTGTGACAGATTGGAAAATCAAAAGTAAGCTTTTTTCACTTTGGTATATTTTATGACGTAGATGCAAAAAGGGTTTTCTTTCAAATTTGACAAACCCGTCATTGAAGCACTAAGCTTTCACGAAATTTACTTCATTAATTAAAAATCCCAACAATAGTTTTACACGGTTTGACTTTTTAAATTACACATGAAAATAAGCGACTTCAAGTGTCGAATCCTTTATTGATAAATTTAATATTTCCACGACTGATGAATGTTGGGTGAATTGGAAATTTATTTAATGCAAACTGAGTTTTCTTTTACGTTTTGAACTCTGTGTTTTCGTATATTTTTATGGTTGGTGGTAACTAAATGGACTTCGAGAAGCCGTTTTTGAGATTAGTGTGAAAACACCACTGATATAGTATATAAAGGTGTATTTTAGTAAGACTTCAACAGCGATGTATATACATCTATATAAATAAATGCAGCCTTGATGATCAACTAGATACACTAGTGCTGATTTTCGAATATAAGTTTAACCCGAATTCTTTCTTTTCGWTTTTTTCTTCGATCAAATAACTGTTTCCATAGACCTGACATATATCTTAGACTGCTTCAAATAATATTTGAAAATCTAAACTTGAACAGAAATTCATGACTTTTCCATCAAAAAACATCCCTACATACTTTATTTTATTAAATTTCTTTGAAATTTGGAAAACTGAATTTTTAAACGGTACATCAACTGAAGCATATTATTCTTTTAATCCTCTAATTTTGTGCGAGGGAGTTCGCTTGATTTGACTAATGCATTAACTTCTCAATTCAAAAAGGAAAGCACGTGCTACAATCTATGAGAACACATTACCTTAGGCCATAAAACGTCCTTTCTATATAATCCTTTAGCACAGCGTATTTGATAGATACTTTGATAGAGAATARCCTTAGTATAGAATGTTTAAAAATCAAGCACTAGTCAACTACATTTGCCAACAAGAAAATTATTTCAAAATCAAATTTAGATTTGCTTGTTTTATTAACATGCTTATATTTGTATCCTTTACCCACGAATTCATTCTGAATTGTTTCTTAAATAACAATTAAAGTTGTTTCGTGGCTCAACTCACGAGTATTAAAGCCTTAAATCCGTGTCCCTTTTTCTGATTCATTTTCTCATACTACTTATCTGGAAATATGAAAATAAAGTTTTCTACTTTTAAAAGGATTTCAATGGTTTTCGATAAGTACATAACTGAGGTTTCTAAATATTTGTTTTCTAGTTCAAAATGGTCTTCAAAAGTCAAATAATCCATTTATGTATTAAGGTTCATAGATTGTTCCCCACCGACGCCATTGTAATCTTATTTTCAAAACTCCTCATTTTCCCCCCGCTCAATCAAGGATTGATTTACCGACTTAATTTTAAAAAGCCGAATTTTATTCTCTTTCCACGCTTTCTCTTTAAATCTTGTCTTCATTTCGTTTTCATTCCGTTTTGGAAGAATTAACAGGATTGACAATTTTATAACTGACTTTATACCGGAAAATTCATGTCGAAAATTGAGATGTGTCGTCAGTGTGGTTTTATGCTCAAGGGTAATTTTCTCTTTTGGCATTTTTTGAAGTTCKACTTTCGTTAGTGTCACATGTAATTGAAGTAACTTTGTAAAAACTTTGTCTTTTTGCTGTATTCAAACTTCAATGTTCTTTTGATGGTGGCAGAAAAAATACATTAGTGGACTACTAGCCGGCTAGACTAGGAATGTCATCATCTATGTCCAGGCATTTGTGGTACGTCAACCAGTCAAAAGACTGTGTAATAATTSACTAGGGAATTAATTCAGTGTTCTAGAGTTCTGAGCAGTAACTATGATTGATTTAATGATTCAGTCAAGTTAAGGAAAGTGATTGTAGGCTGAAGTTTGAGACTCGAGATTTTTTACCAATTTCAATATTTCAATTTGCGATAGTACTTATTTTTGGAAGCTATTTTYCCCCCAAGAATATGTGGAAGAGTCAATTAGTCTCTCAATTATTTTTTATGAATGTTCTCTTTTCCCAGTGAAATAAAAGCTAATGATTTAGTCGTTTCGTTTACACTATCCTCKTCCTCATTTGATCCAGTATTGGTCAGTAATGTGCGATTGCAGTATAAGAATTATAACAGATAGAAATCCAATTTCCTCAGATTTTATCCTCGTAATCAACCAATCAGAAACCATTCGATCCATGGTTGTTATTGAAGGCATCGGTGAAAGACAAATGAGTAGAAAATCGGCTTGTGCCGAGAATGTTCGTTTTTGCCTTGATCATTTCCTGKTGTATGTTCGAACGCCCACGTAAACACCTACACATATAATACATTCAAACATGATGCATTTGTCTTTATGTTTTTCTCAATCTGTGGTCGGGAATAATCTTAATTCGTAATTATATGTGGTTATGTTCAAAAAGAACTGCACGATTGTGGATTTCTGTAAACAACACGTTTCCGGGCCAGCGGCCTAAATCGTAGGAATCAGTGCCGATCGGGAATTCACTATAGCTCCCTTGACCTGGACGAAAACACATAAAATGTAGGTAAAACAATGGAACGATTTCAATACATGTTTTAATATCCATAATTAGTTTTTCCTTTTTTTTTTTTTTCTTTTTCCTTTTTTTTTTTTTTTTTTCTCATAGTTAATATTAACTATGTTTTTCGATGTTTTTTTTCCCTTTTAATCATAAAGTTTATGACAATTAAAATTCTCGACGCTTCGAAGCCTTAAGGCATCATGCTCATGAGTGTTTTTTAGAAGCTACGAATTCAGGTTTTTTCGATCCTTTGCGTATGRTATTCTTACATACACAAGTTAATCAGTAATAAAGAATATTTAGAAAATGTAAGTAATATAAATATTTATGACTAAACTATAATCATACTTCATTTCCTTTTATCTTGTATTCACTTTTTGCTATTCATAGAAAGATATTTTTGTCCATTGTTATTTCCTTCCTCTGTGAAAATGTCAAAAAATGTTCTGTTTTTCTCTTTCAAATCACTCACTGATGTTATTCTTTTGGTGATGTATTTCATCACTCGAACAACAAGCCTGATTATTTTTCCCTCATTTCTCTTATACTTTTTAGGAAGTATTGATAAGATTGTAGAAATTCATTTATTTACCAACCTAAAGGAACACCGTTTATCAGCAGCGTCAACATCATTGCCTTTATCATTAGTGATGAGATTAACATCATTTCGCGGTATTCAATTCATGGCTATGCTATATTGCTTGCTTTCAATTTTATTGTCTTCATATTATCTTCGTTTCCTTTTTTTCTCTCTCTATGTAAATACGTGTAATACATCCGCTAAGGAAAAGRCGCATGTGCAAAGTCATCTTCAAATGTCATTGGATTCCTGGTTCCTTTTAGTACCTCTTAAGTCAAATACTGCTAAATACTGTAAATATACAAGTGTGAAATCGCATTTCTCCATTTCTATACAATACTGACAATTGAGATGCCATTTAATTCCGTTGTAATGTAAGCCTGGCTATTTCAAAAAGGGTCGTCCGCGGAGCCACAGTGGTTAGTCAATAGGCGACAGGTCATTCCAAGACCCAAGGACAAACAAACTAAACACGAATTATCGAAGGCTATTACACTTATTAAAATGGTTTCATCGACTACAAATCATACTAAATATATCTCAACAATAACCTCCGTGTTCTTGTCCAAGCTATTCTTGGATCTCGGAATGATSAYCTATCTCCTATCGCCTTTGGCTCCAACAGCCACTGATGTATCTTAATATAGTTCTAGTGTGTTAGACGTGAAGTATATTGATCGTTCGCTGTGACAACCTGACTCCCTCTTTTCTGCTTGTATTAAAGTTCCAGAGATGCATGATGCCAATAATACTGAGATGATGATTTTTGTTTGACGGATTGTTTATTTATCTTATTAGATAAATATTTCTATTATCAAAGATTTCAAACACAGTGCTTATTTACCATATTTCCAAATGTTTGGCTTCCTCCAATCACAATTGATGGGTTGCAAGCATTCCCAAGAGAGTAAAAAGACAAAAACCTGGCGGCCAGTTGTGGGACCGTTAACAATGGATGCTAATGAGAAATCTTTTGTTAAATGGYACCAACATGGCCGCGATGACGTAACGTGCAAACGAAGAATAGTTAAGCATTTGAAATCCCTCAACAAGATTTGATCAGTAAAATAGGTCGTYGGAGACGCTTAGGCTAATGGTTATATCTTATCTGATGATGGTAATACCAACATCATCATCATTAAGAGTCTGTTTATCTGTTATCAGCTTGATTTTTAGGTTATCTTTTAATGGGTTTTCAGAATTTAATCATCATCAAATTATTACAGCGCTACCCAATCACACACGCGGAATCGTACAATCATTTGCCGTCGTGACAAAAAGGGTTTTGRTGGACGTCAGTCCGGGCACGTGCCTATGGAATGTCATGGAAACGGCTTGGTTGACATCCACCAAAACCTACTTGGTGTAATTGACCACATTCGTTGATTTGTTGTGGTGGAATGAATAGTGAATAAGATTCTTTGTTTGCGTTGTATCCATATTCATGTCTCTTGTCATGCGCAACAGTTAAACCGTTAAACCGTTATGACACGTGGTCTGAAATGGGAAAATATTACACMCCAACGGATAAGGTATATTGGGAAGATCTGCAATTCCTTTTTAAGATAATAACAGCGAACGAAATTTCTACTATTCGCGGTTGCTTTCGTTTCATATTCTACTAYTTTAAAATACTCAAGAAAACAAATATTTCCACTTTTAAAAGGTTATTTTATGTGATAATGGCTTTATCCCGCCATTGAGACAGTAAAAAGGTAATGTCTGAAATTAGTGATAGTAGCAAAATTAACAAACAGCCTGGAGTCGCGCGTTCTTTTGGTGGGAACGTTTCCTGCTAAATTAATCGACACAGAACTGAACTCCGTCAATATAGCCCATAGGGARAAACGTAATGTCATGAGTCTTTTAGGCCTTCTTTTGTTCTACATCATCATACGTAATATGAATGTTAGACTTTTATGATAAGATTAGAAAACATAACAAAAAACAAAACATGAAATTTCATAAGATGGACCTTCTCCCACTTGCATCCTTCGGTACGCGCTTCGTTCTGCTGTGATATTAACGTTTTTGTAACTGAATAACATATATTAGTATAATTTTAGACTTGAATATAGAGTTTCTCGAGCTGTGATTGGTCGARCGACCAGTAAATAATTCTGAGACGATAGCACCGCTGAGCAAAGTGTTCCAGATCACGAGTAATACTAAAACGTTTTTTTTTTAAATCCTGAATTTCGACTTTTCTCTTATATTCAAGTCTAAAATTATACTAAAACAATTATTCCCCTCAGGATCAGTGATTATGGTGATATTATTTTACTCGTGGTTCTGTAAATATTCCACTGATAATCACTTCGCCTTTGAGGAATAATTCGTACTTTCGTTGTTCTTTTATATAGCTGGCGTAGCAAGTGACGATGACGAGCTAGAAGAAATGTTGAAGAAAGACAAACACCTTGAGCATGGCTTCAGCTCCACCATGGATTTGCAGAGGTATGTAGGTATATACTCTTTAATGGTTTATACTAAAAACAACTCGAAAAATCATCAAAACATACCCCTCATCATGCACTGAATCAGAAGGCTTGATACACACTATCCAATCAGAATGCTTTATACATCTTCCAATCAGAATGCTTGATACATCATCATTATCATTTCCCCCCCGTTAGGCGTGTTTCCGGCGCTTTTGTCTGAATAGGATGGGGAATCTCGTCTCCAGCAGACGCATGAGACGCATAAGACCAATGCCTTAATCAGTATTCTTCCAGCCGTTTGGGTGTCTATACCCTAGTAGGGATTCTATCTCGGAATACGGAACCCATACGGAACTCATTTACAGACTCATGCCCAGTCGCTTCTCTTACTCGCGCAGKGGTAAATGGGAAGGACTTAGTAAGTTCGCGTTCTCGCGCATTAGTCGCCTTCCCATATTACATTGCGAATGGAAGGGAAAAAAAGAACAAAACGTAAGTGACGACTAACCCATGATTTACAGTAAGAGTTGCAGAATCGCAGTTAGATTATTTTCCACTTTCCATTCGTTTGTGCGGTGCTTATACCGCGATTGTCAAGTACGTAGAGTGACTATATGTAGTTATAGTTAATAAATAGTATTGACTATGATGTACTAAACTTTCAAGATTTCTTGSACGTTGTTCTTCCAGAATCCTTGGTGTCAGCTACCAGCAGATACCTCTCAGCAGGGTCAAGAAGATGACAGCCGCTGTAATCACTGTGGTAGCCATTATTATCTTCATCAGTCTTAGTTTCCATTCAGCTTCTCAAGATGCTTCTAAACCACTTGYCGTCAGCCATGACACTACAGATACCGCCTCTACCTCCCCCACGGGAAACGTCTTGACAGCAAAGACTCTGGAATCTGTAGGTAGAGAAACAGGGGGGTATGAATCTTCATTCAAAACAACACAAAACGATTCAAAAGTATCTGTAAAGAGTACGATTTTATCTCCAACTACGAGGTCAACCAAGAAAAATGTGACACATTCAACCACTTCGTCATCCCTCAGTAATAAATCTCAGAGTAGTAAACCTACACAAACTGATTCAAAAGATACAACACATCGCATATTACCAACAACGACTAACCATCTTCAATCAGAATTTGTTCTTGCTATGAATCCCAGCATTCCTGCAGACCTCAACCTGGACTGTAGCTCATGCGCCGTGGTAACCAATTCCGCTGATCTTCGTAACAGCAACGCAGGCTCTGTAATCGATTCGAATGAGTGCGTAATTCGTCTGAATACAGCACCCACGAGCGGGTATGAGGTGGACGTTGGTGCCAAAACCACTGTACGGGTCGTATCACAGCATCATTTAGGGGACCTTTTGCATTACGTCTGGCACGAACCCAAAGAAATGCGTTCCCTCCGTTACGTCATCACATTCGGGAGGAGAAATGCTCTATGCCAAAACTGTACTTTCTTCAAGATATTCAAGAACGTCTCTGAGGAATATTTAGGAGACAAGTTCATAAGGCTCACAAAACCTCTTGAAAAACAAATAAAGATTGGTAGAAAGGCAAAGAGAATGAGGAAAAGGTACCGACTAGCAATTGTCTAGAATTTATAGTATTTCAAACTTATATATTATATTATTTTCGACATGGGATTTTTTTTTTTTTGGATTCATTTCAGTGAATATTCAGACTCCGTTCTACTTTCAACACAGTTCCACGCCATAAACACTATGCGGAAAGTGTGTAACAAAATGAGGGTGTTTGGAGTGGAAGCGAATCACCCTTGTCTTAGGTAAGATAACTGTGGTGTTCATGTATTCATATATCTTAGTGACGGATCATCAGATAATTGAACGGGGGGTTGCGTAAATTCCCAAAAAATATCGAGCGAGCACTTAGCCTACGAGATATCGCGCAACCTCTCCTTTCAGAAAAAAACAATAAATATCGTGCAGGGGTTGTTACCAAAAAAATTAATTTCGTGCAACATAAATTCCTGCAACCCCTCAACCGTTACAGCACCGTAACCAGCTACTGCGCATAAACATACGAAATTTATTTTCATCGACAACTCTCGTCGCGCGCCCGCCCATTTTCGATATGGAGCGTTGTTTTGTCATGTTAATAGTTTTCTTTTTCCGTACTTCTTCAGTGACCACTCTTACAAGAAGAGCTATTGGCAGCCAAATGATTATATCACTTGTGACGGGAGCAGAGCGGAGATCGTGAAGGACATCAAACGATACCGATTCGAAAAAGAAATCTACGACAAATGGGAAGATCAATATGAYCTGGAATTTCTGTACCCGTGAAAAAATCTGCAAATATATTATTTAATTTTTTTCCGGTCTGGTATCCGTAAAAACCGTGCGTTTATTGCCAAGGGAGTGAAATAACGAAAGACACGGCGGCAATGTTGGTTGATATAACAAAAGAATTTATGGACAATTCGTTTGTTAAATTTAACTAAGATGGCGGCTATGACGTCATGTGCAAACAAAGAATATCCAGTTCCTGGCCATGTTGGTTGAATAGAACAAAATGTGTTAATTAGCCACCATTGCGGCCATACACACCTTTGAAACATAGACAATCAGCTGGTCTGATTATTATWATATTATTATTTAACAATTATTCGCCGAAGGCGAAGTGAATATCGGGAAATATTTACCGAGACGTGAGTCTTGTTTTATTTTTTTATTTTTAGCATGAGTGAATTTAATGAATAACGGGAAAGAGTTTTTTTTTTTTTAATTTTTTTATTATTTTAATTTTAAATCTCTGTAAACGGCACACATCGACAAACAAGCGTGCGCGCGTGTGTTATATTCGGCACCTGTAAGTGAATATATRGCAGCATAAGACGTAAATAGTGACCAATGAGCGCGCCGGATTTATTATATTCATTTATTTTGTAAAAATGCTAATATTAATTATTATTGATTATCAACTACCAAAAATATTTCATTTGGCAACTTTTATAAGTGGAGAATGTTTCTTGTAACACAAGAACAGTTTTTAAACAAAATTTTTAATGGTTGATAGTTGAAGCTTTTTTTAACAACTTGGTTGAGATCTTGTTTCGTTTAATGCTGGAAATAAACACTAGAGGGAAATGCTCAYAATGCATTAAGCATGCTAAACAAAATAAGCATACTTGTAAGATATCATTAAAGAAATACTGTTAGCCTTAAGGTTAAGACAAGAAGTAAGGGGAATTTTTTAGTCATTCGTCCAGTCAAGCTTCCAATTAATGTCATGATGATATACCACTTTGATATCTAATCGATTCAGCCCAAGGTTCCGTGGAAAAGGATTTGCTGAATGACGAACTATTTTTAAAAAGTTTAGTATCTTGAGAYAGAAATTATTGCAAGGGTAAAATAGTATTTCTGAAAGCTTTTTTTTAAAGAAGGAAAATCCGAGATGTTTGCCTGTCACGTCACGTGTCACGGGTCACGTCACGTGGTTATATCCTGCAAAGGGCCTGTTGATCAGGGGAAACGTAACTGTAATCCGTCTTAAGGGGAAAGTGCATAAAAAATATTATGAAATGAAAATATGGTTATCTATGAAGTCAACCAGGGTGATTTGAAAATGGATRATATTGTTATATCTATACTTTGTAAATAATTGACCAAAATTCCGAGGGTATATTATAAACATATATCATCTTTCTTCAAACGCGATTTATAGATAAATCAGCCATTCAGGGGGTCAAACACGAATAAAGCTAGGGTCTTTTCTAGTTGGATGATATTTGTTTAACTCGCCATATTTCGATTATTGAAAGGATCGGACGAATGYGCGTGCGCCATTTCTTGTTCTTTGAAACTGAAGTGAAGGGTTGGTGGGCTGGGGAATAATTGCAAAARCAATAAAATTAAAAACTGAAGTTTAGTTTATATTCATTGATTCAAGAAAGTTACACCTAGGAAAGTAAGAATAGGATGTTTGCTTGATGGCGTCGTTTGACTCCCACTACCATAACGCTTCGCGAATTTTCTTTCTTATTTAAATTTGTATTCCTGCCTCATGAGAATAGCAAGACAGTTGGTRCTAATTAACTGTACAAAAGAAAGCGTGTAAGGGAGTCTGGTAGTAGTGATCAATGGCGCCATCTCATGCAACATCCTAATGCTTGTGTTCCACTCAGGAAAGGAAGTGAAACCGAGGAGCTCTGGGTACGAGAATGCTTGTGTTCTTCCTGCGTTTGTAGATACATCGAAACATTTGGGAATCAAATAACCCGCATTTCATCGAGGAGAAGGCCAGCTGTGGCCGATTTGATCTCCTTATCTTACGAGATGGTATTGATCTTGCTTTTAATGTAAGTGCATTTGTACAGGTAGACTAGATCACGAAGTCTTTCATGATATAAGGGATGGCCGTTCTGAAGAGCAAAGTTATAAATTCTTACATTAATATAGAATCATACTGGAGCTAGGGTGTGCCAAAAACCCTAACGAGAACTCTGTGGCAGAAAAAAGACCATCTTTGAGCTAGAGGGTGAACTACCATCTCAAGACCTACTATAGGTGGAGCTTGCTATCATACCCCTTACCCTGAGAGGATGCGCCAAAACTCCTAACAAGAACCCTGTGGTTGAGCTAGAAGGTGAACTACCACGTCAAGACCTACTAGGTGGAGCTATCATACCCCTTACCCTTCAAGGATGCGCCAAAACCCTTCACAAGAACCCTGTGGTTGAGCTAGAAGGTGAACTACCACCTCAAGASCACTAACCYTGGCTATAGTCGCTGCATCCTTAAACTCACACATCCACTCACACTCACACTCACCTTTCGAGAAATGTGAACCCAACGCGATCAGTGTCGTATTGATGCCCAAATACCACTAAACAACGACCCCCTTATTTCCACCCAACACAGTGCAAGCAACGTYTCAAGAGCCATCCGTAAAGTAAGCGTTCCAAGGCCTCACCTAAACAAGGCCGAGCAGTTTCTTCAATTGACTTTGKTAACTTAGTGTATCCAGTCCGACAGGAACAAATCCGGAGCCCGAGACAATTACCTTGTGGCGTCCATAAAGCATCCCTTGAGCAACGTCAAAAACAAAAACAAAACTAGACTTGTGAAGTATTTCGTGATGGGTAGCCGGTACGTATTGCAAAATTCCTCATGAGCGGGAGTTAGTAAGGACRAAAATTCGTCCTCACCCGAGTCCCGCGCAAGTCACAGAAATGTGACAGAAAATCTCGAACAAAAAGCGAACGATAAATTTTCTGCATGAACTTTTCGGTCTAAGAAATCTGCGAGGAATAGCCAAAAAYCTTTTTTCGGGTGTTCGAAGTTTAAAGACGGTGAAAAAGGATATTAGATACCGTAGGGGAATTCACCTTTTCTGCGCTAGCCGTCTAAGCACGACTAAACACAGCATAGTCTTCATGGGCCAAATATCATGGCGGCGGCAAATGAAGGTCAGCAACGAAGTACACAAGATTTGCTTGTCATTAATGCTAGGGAAGTTCTTCTCGATATAATTCGACGCCTGGAATCTGGCGTTTGTACCAATGTCAATGTGGACTACATCAGATATCGAGTAGAATGGCTTATTGCTGTTATAACACGCTTTGGCCATGCTGTGTTTAGTCGTGCTTGGACCTTCTCGGGATCTTGCCACAGGAAGCCCAAAATCAATCTTGGGACACTAATATGGTTGGGCTGCCTGTGGTACGCCATATCGCATTACAGTACGCCATATCGCATAGAGGTACGGCATATCGCATTGAAGTACGCCATATCGCATAGCGGTACGCCATATCGCTTAGAGGTACGGCATATCGCATT